TCCATCTAGGTCCTCCTCGTGTACGTTGTTTCGCTTTGGGCATCATGTCCTTGTGCAACACTGAGCAACCGATTTTCCACAATCCGCTAGTGCAGCTACATTGCATTCCAAGAGCCGCAGATCAGAAACACTCAAGCATGGCTTGAAAGCAGTTTGTATTCGGAGCGTAGCTAGGGATCGCAACATGTCTCTAGTAATTATAGGCTTTTTCCGGAAGCGGGGCCCTGGTTACCTTATACCTTATACCTCCCGTATTCCTTTTTTGTATACTGAGGTCATGTGGGGTTCCTAGTATCAACAGTATTGTTTGTTGGTGTGTTCGTATTTTTTTGGTGTAACGCTCACTGCAACTCAACAGCGAAACCCATAACCCTAAGCCCTTCTAAGCCCGGCACATAGCCGTCCACCTTGTTCTGATTTCTATGGGTTGCCTCGCAGATTCCTGTGCGAGCTCCAGGGGAGACCTTGCCTTGTTGATTGCTTTTTCCCCAGCGTGGACAGCTCGTAAATCCCACATTCAAGCACCCCGAGTAGTGACCGACCGTAACTACTGAAACCTTATCACAACATGAAAAAGGAAGTTTACACGGATAGATGTAAGCCGTCCCCTAGTCCTCACAACCATCACAATCATGGACCCCCAGGAACGCTTCGAAAACGCGTTGAAAGCGGCTGGCTTCCAAGCATGGGACGAAGGTGAATCCTGCTGTGGAAAGAATGGCTGTGTGTGAGTACGAAGTTAGCCTTATATTAGAGTTGGGGTCATACACTTGCTATAAACCCTGAGGACATTTCTGGAAAAGGGTGTTACAAACCATAAGTGTCAAGAGCAAGCTCTTTGAGCATGAAAGGAGGCGCCCACCCCCGCCACCCTTCAGAAGAGACCTCCCACACCAAAATCTAAACTCTCACTTTAGGATCCTTCTACCTGGAGGACTAGAGCATTTTTCACAAAAAATATTGGATTGCCAGGTGTCTAGGCATTTAGGTATGGGGGTTTCCAAAAATTAGGGGTCTCGTGCTGGGAGTCCCTAGAAATCGGACTCTACAGTATATTGAGGTCTGAGGTCTGTATTGGGGCCCCCCATTTATGGCACCCCCCATATCACATTTATGGCAGCCCCATATCACCTGCTGCCCCAGAAATTCATCAACCATGAGCTCAGCAGAGTATCTAGATGTCAGGGTCCAGGGTTAAGGGTTTAGGGTGGAATCGCAGAAGATCCTCAATCCCAATCATCAGCCCCGCAATCAACAAGGTAGCATCCAGCTTAGAAAAGACAGCAGCCACATTCTCTACATGAACCCGTGGCTTTGATCTGTCATGTGCGTATGCAGGCAGGTGTATATTCTCAAGATCGTGCATGGTAGAATTCAAAGGTTCGTATCCCACCGCCCGCTTTCCCCTAATCTGAAACAGCCGCCACTCTCTGACGTTTGGTAATAACATAACAAGAATATATGATTAATATAACAATAGGTATAACAATAATAACAACAGATCTTCTCCATATTATCTCGGCTTTTTAGTTCCCATCGTGCGATGGAGGGGTTTGGAATCAGGGGCATCATCAGCAATGAGTTTGCTTCATTTTGATGAGTTCTAAGATGACTGAAGCTTGAAACATGTTGCACAAAGACAACTTGACACTGCCGGAGGCTTCAGCAAAAAAGCGTGTCTTAAGCTTAGCTCAAGGTTGCTTGTGGAGCAGCTTAGTTTTTAACCTGTCACATGGGTTTCAGTATATGCAGGTTCCAAATTTTGAATGGGTGGCCAGACCCTAAACCCTGAACCCTAAAACCCTTAACCCTAAACTCTATAAACTTAAAACCTGTTGGTGGCCAAAGAGGCTTATGAGGCCCCCTGGGCACGATGCTGAGGCCATGACACCGCATGGTTGGCTGCCTAGAGAGCTCGAGCAGGCAGGAAGGGAGTAAGGGTTTAGGGCTTAGGGTTCAGAATCTAGGGTGCAGGATTTAGGGTTTTGCATTTGGGGTTTACGGTTCATGGTTTAGGGTAAGAGGCTTCAGGATTTAAACAGGAATTTGGGGTTTGTAGGGATGTATGGGATTAAGATTAAGTGGACCCCCCACCCTGTAATGTTGGTAGAATAGGAATATAGAAGGACCCGAATATGATTGCCAATTCCCTGCTTGATGTGACTATTACTGCTTAAGGGGGGGGCCCACCTAAGGTTTAGGGCTGAGGGGCCGCTTATGCTTGTTTCGGAGAAGCTGGAATCTTGTCAAGGGTTCCCCTGCTTTGTGAACGTGAGGTGGGGGTCCTTGGCTCTTTGCAGGGGCCTGCGGTGGACCTGGATAGATTTTGGGTAAAGCTGTTTACGGTTTGATGTGTTCTTCAGCTTAATGTAGTTTACTGCAAACGTGTTCAGTCAGAGGTTTGTGGAATTCAGATTCGTGCGGAAGTAGGCGATTCCTTGAACCTCAAACCTAACACCGTGTGCCTCTGCCCTATGTCGTTAGCCCGAAGCCAAAACCTTACTGCAACTGCAGAAGGCTGAAGAGTTAACAGTAAGTATTTACCGCTCAATCCAATTGCCGTAACATACTACATACCCGGAAGCCCTATTCAAGCTCAAATAGGCCACGCCACACTTCGCATTAGGTGAGTCGCTCTCTGGCCGACACCAAAAGGAAAGTTTCATCAGGGCATCGGCGTGATGCCCATCGAGGCACTCGTGCTGAAATTGGCGGTCAGGGTGAGGAGGGCCAGGTTAGATAGAGTTTTCGTATGTAATAGATGCAAACCCAGTGAGGAACAGATAATTGTGATTTTTCATGTGTATCACAGCAAGGAATCAAGAGGGGCGAGGGAATGGATTTTCGGTTGCCAGTGCGAGATCCACCAAAGAGAGCATACTATCTAACCAGAACCCCCAATGTAGTTCCTTTTGGTTAGAACCTCACCAAAAAGACATAACAAACCCCGAAAGGAACTACACGGGAGCCCTTACTTATTAATTATCCATGAATATGTTCAGAAACCCTGGTTGGCAAGATCTAGGTTTCCATGGTCTCTTGACCACTGAGGTATACACGAGGGCTGTGGTCCGTGTTTCACTTACGAACTCGACGGCTAGGGATGAGTAGTTTTAAAATTACCCAGGGTGCCCAATGCCCCTTAATTAAGGAAGATATCTTAATTCATATTACGGACCCTTTTACCATTTAGGGTATATTCCGTAATTAAGGGGTACTGGGCTCTCTGGGTACAGCAGCAGTGGTAAACTTGGCATGCGCGTTAGTAGCGCCAGTACAGCAGTGGCGTAAGCGGAAGCACTTGCACTAGCCGTATGTCCGCTACCAACCGCTACCACGACGAGGACGACGCTGTTGACGACGATGACGTCGAACTACCAAACTGCTGCTGCTGCTGCGGCGGCGCCGGCTGCTACTGCTAGTAGTAGTAGTAGTAGTAGTAGTTGTAGTAGTAGTAGTAGTAGTAGTAGTTCTAGTTCTTTTACCACCACTACCACTATCACTACAACTTCCAGTACCAGTATGGCAATGATCCTTACAAAGACAACAGCGACCACAACAAAGCCAGACTCAGTTTCACATGGGATGCCATTTTCCTCAGAAAGGGTAAGAGTATTCGTCATTTTGTGCATCGTGTAGCACACTATTCATATGGGAGATTCCCAAAATGAGGGATACCTTTTTGGGGTCCCCATAATAAGGCTTGTAGTATATTGGGCACCGATTTTGGGAAACCATCACATCTCATTTATCTAAAATGCCAGGAACAAAGAGCTCCTCCCATGTACCTGCCGCGCTGGCAGAGCTCGAATCCCGTCGGAGGCTTAAAGAAGAGGTGGCCTCAACACCCTAAACTTTCCTAATGTAAACCCGTGATGCCCTCCCCTTAATGGGGATTATGCTAGGGATCTTGACTTGAACCTGCCTCTAAATTGAAACTTACTTGCTGAGGGTCAGTAGGGAAAAAGGGAAAATATCCTATAAGGGGAAAGGGTTTCGAGGGAGTATGGAGACCACAATGGTGTTTTGGGGTCCTCTTGGGATTCCTCCGTCCGGATCATGAAGAAGTCGCCCGCAGAGAGCAACCAAGTAGATGCAATCCTCCTTAGAAACAAGAAATGGATGGAACCCTCAAACTCCAAGTAGAAGGGGCGGCAGGCAGGTTTGGGGCCGCTGAAATAGCGATGCAACATGATGGGAAATTACCGAAAACGTGTGGATACTAAGGATATTGCTAATGAGCGTAAGGCATAGCAAGACCCTAAATCTCTACACGATAACCGGAACGCAAGCCTAAGCTTGTAGCTAAGGCATGGGCGTCCAGCAGCCAAATGCTGCCGAGAGAGCTGAGCCTTTCGAGGTCCCCAAGGCGCAGCTGCAATGCAGTCAACGAGCAACGTTAAATCATGGGTTCCCCTACAATGTACAGCCCCCGGCTTTGCCACCTCCTCCCAGGTTCCCCAGCAATTAGAGATTGGGGCTAGCTCAGGCTAATGGAGGGGGGTGTCATCATCCCATCATCTTCCTTATATTTTTGCTAACACCGAGCGCACAATCTATGCGGTGCGGTCATGGGCGCCTGCTCCGAGCTTGCTAGGTCTCTATATATGGCTGCGTAACGCGCATGGGATCCTATTTCAACTCGTCCAGGGTTCGGCCAGCTATCATGTAAGAAGAGTCCTGATTACATTGAAATTGTGGTCTGACTTATTTGTGCTACAAAATCCCTATTCTAAGCATTCAGGCATCTCCCGAGGACTCCTGTTGCGGTTGTGGGGGTCAGGTCGAGTTCGAGGCTTTAGGGTTCCAATGTGTTGTAGCTGCTTACCGCAGGGAATGTAGAGGCCTTTGTAGGGATTGACGAATATCTTGAAGTCGTGCTGTGGCAGAAAGCATATTTCCATTTTTTGGTGACCATTGGCAAGTTTGAGCATCTCTGTTCAATCAAAGGCAGATCTTCCGCAAATACACAGGGCACTGTAGGCTTGCATAGGTGCGCTATGGAGATAAGGAAGTTACTAGAGGTGGGTCCATTTTCAGCGGGCGATATAAGGAATCTACGGCGTAGCCATGGACTCTGCCCGAACGTCGTTCAGTTCTTGTCATCCGTAATCATGAAGAATCCTATCCTCTAGGGATCCAAATAGCCCAATGCAGGTATTATTTGTATACTCGGATCCATAGGTTTCGAGAGCTGCTTGCGCTGGGTGCGAAGCCCTCAAGCTAATGTAGACCCGTGATTAAAAAGCCCCCTCCCCTTACTAGGGATTATAAAACGGATCCTAATATTGAGGCCCTGAAGAGGAAGGGTTGATTAATCACGGGCTTACATTACCCTCATCCAAGTACCCCAAGTGAAGGCTCCCGACAAGGAGGAGCCCAGGGCCTTGTGGGGTCCTCAGACTGGCTCACCCCCAGGATCCGGGGAGGTTTTGGGGTTGTAGGAGGTTTTGTTAGAACCCAAAACCCAAAACCCAGGGTCTATGTTCAGAAAGCTGTGGTTACACAGGCTGTTTCGGGAGTAGGATTCAGGGCCAGGGTCTTAGTGGGAATCCTCAACCAACCCCCCAACATAGCTGCTATTATCATAGGCTTCTGATAGGGTCCTTACTACCAGGTCTGGGACTGAAGATAAATCAACGGCACAGCCGAAACAACGACAGACAACTCCATGTCCCCCTATTTGACCACGTGGCCGTAAACTTTCTTGCATGCAGGCAAACATGGAAGCCCAAAAGGGCCCTACAAAGACTACTGTCCTTTGCAAAAGGGGCTTTAAAGCAAACCGTGGAGCCGAATACTTGGATGCTGCCCCCACTCAGCAACCGTTGGATGATCTTATGCTTGATCTAGATTCACAAAGACCTTCACATTATTCCCATCTAGGACTTACCGGGTGGAGGCAGCACCCAACAAAATCCTGAACCCTAAATCCGAAGCCCTAAATCCTCGACCCGAAATCAACACTCATCATACCTAAATTTAAATACTAAACCCCTAAAACCCCGAAGCCTGATCTACCCAAGGCCACCACCAGAACATGTGGTGGATGCGCCGCCCGAGACGGTGGAAGTGTTGGATGAGGAGCCAAATCTACTGGAGAAGCGTAGAACAGGGTCTAGGGGGTTTTGAGATTGGAAAAAGGAATGATAGAAACCTGTATAACCGTAGATTGTATATGGGGAAACCCGAAACTTTTCATATTTCAATCCTGAACGATTTCTATAGCTATAGTGCAAGATACCTCCACAAGCTATTCTAGTTGAACGAGCCGTTACACGACATTAGGCTGTGCCTGTGACCCAATGGTGGCGAGTAGGATCTGGGAAGGGCTAGGACCTAAACCCATCTAAACCCTAAAGCCCTGAACCCTAAGCCCTAGAACCCTACACCCTACACCCTAAAACCCCAAACCCCAAACCTGCCTAACATCACCTTCTTCGGCCTCTACTTCGCCCAACGACATGCCTAAGGACCCATAAGCCCTACCTGGACTCTCCCAGGTTTAGGGTTTAGACTCTCCAGGGTATTTCCTTTTTGGGTTTGGTATACTTTTACGCTTAGGATTGTTATCAGGCTACATGGGAGGGTCCAGGTAAGTTCTCAAAATCTAATGTCCTAACTATTGGGCCCTGAAAGCCTGGGTTTTACATTCCATAGGGTATATAAGAGGTATAGAAAAACCCCGGATAAAGGGCCATACTAGGCCCATAGTTCCAACCTTAGACAACCCAAGAGGACCTAAACCCTAAACCCTAGCCCAAGAGGACGAGGAAGAGGAGGAGCAGGAGGAGAACGTGGGTGAGGAAGCTGAAGGCAAAGAACCTGAGGAAGCACAGCAAGAGGAGTCGCCGGCTGAAGAGCCGCTCGATGGGTTTGCAAGCATGATTGTCTTTTGTAGCGGAGAAACTGTTTGGTTGCGCTTAAGGAACTTAAATTAATTTACCATAATGGGTACTTATAGTAGAGAATCGGGTTTCTCCAATATCGTAACTTTTAACTAAATTCCTTAAGTTCCTACATTTTGCCAGTGCCCATTTCACTTTCCATGTTCTTTTGCATTTGATTCTCCATCATAGGGGGATAATACCCCTAAACCCTAAAACAAAACCCTTAACCCTAAACACTTAAGTTAAGTTCCTTATCAGCAACCCAGATTCGGGCATCAGGAAGCTATGTAGGGCTGAGACGGATTCCCTACAGTTGCATTCCGCGCTCTAACTCTTATAGTCCCCCTCAAGTAGATGAAATATGGGGTATATGGGGATCGTATTATAACATACCCAAAGCCACATTCTATCTATCTAAGGGGGACTATAGTCGCGCCTTCTGAGAAGCGTGGCCTAGAGTTTTGAGAGAAAACGCTCCAAGAATGGCTGAGGTTGGAGATCCCGGATGACCCGGCAGATGCGGAAGTGGTTGAGGATGACGAAGCTGGCTCAGGATGAAGATCCTTTTTTGGGGGGTTTAGGGTTTGGGGTTTAGATTGGGTCATTCCCCCTCCCAGTAACTGTCCTTAAAGGGGCCTTATTAAGGGGGTTCTTATAACTCCTATAACCTTAGGTTAGGAGGACGCCCCACCCTGTAATAGTGATATAAGTGGAATATAAGAGGACCCTAATATAATCCTTATTATCCCTTATAGTCACTACTACAGGGTGGGGGGTCCACCTAATTTAGAGGTTTGGAGGCTTGGGTTTGACGTGGACGCTTCCAAGGAATTGTTGCAAGTCGGGTCCAAACGGACCTCCTGGGACCTCCCTAACAGCTTCGCACAAGTCGCTGCAGATGGATTCCTTGAAATTGGTGAGGGTTTAGGGTTTAGGGGTTCAGAGGTTTAGGGGTTTAGGGTTTAGGGGTTAAGGGTTAGGGGGTTTAGGGGTTTAGGGTTTAGGGGTTTAGGGTCGTGAAGTGTGACCAGCCAAGTATTTCTCCATACCGGATGGTGGCATTATACTTCCCAATATACATTATGCTCAGGGTCATGTAGGATTTTTGGTATCCACTGTCGTATGTAGGTGGATCTAGGTTGAGGCCAGTTTTTTTTTGCAACACGGTGGTTCACGGTAGTATAAAAGAGATGCGCAAAAGAAGACGTATGTACCCCTGTGCCGGACATTCAAGGACCTGCCCCTTCTTCTAGGGACCATAATAATCAAAGGGCCCCCTATCTGCAAACTCCTAACATGGGTCACGGTTTTGGGCACACACCCTTCAGACCTTGTCAACGGTGGTGTGTTGAGGCCTTTGTCGTCAAATTCTGGTTCCTGTTGGCATCTCCTATAGATGAGGGGCATCTTACGAACCACAAGTGTGAATTGTATCTGCTGTTTGTAGCAGTCCCTCCCAGAAACTGTACCGTTACCCCATACTCCACTTCCTCCTTCTCATCATGCGCCATCTCACCATGGTGACTACAGCCAGTAGCCATTCTTATGACACCCGCCCAGGATCGGGAAGACGAGATGTATCTTGCCACGGCCGCAGTGTGGCGACGGGTGTTCGACGTTGGAAGGTGCTGCTTAACCCTTTTCCAAATGTTCGTTTCCCAAAATAGGAGGACCCTACCCCACAAAGGTACCCCGAATGTCGGGAAAACCAAAACCCCAAATAAGCTGCTACATATGCCCAGCGTCTAGGTCATCTTCCGATTTCTTTGCATTTGATTATCCACTATACCCTGAGATATCCTAAACTCTCATTCCTAAATCCCTAAACCCCTCAACCTTAACCAATACCCATAAATCCCATGACGGAGCGCCTAGGCTTGGTTCCCAGCAAGGCCTCTCGAGAAGTCTTGAATATCCACTTAGTCTGGAGTCACAGCCTACTTGATCAGCCAGGTACGGCGGAGGTTGGAGCATTCGGGGTAGCAAATTGAGATCCTATTTTGGTATGCTTACGCATATAGAGCCGTACTAGAATTCATCACCAAGAAAGCCCCACTCTATTCAACTCTCCGGGTGCTGATATTCCCCCTCATGATGGTACCAATCTGGACTCCAAACACACCAGTAACATCCTAGCTCACATTCTCTGAAGTTGCCTTGAACTAACCCTAAACCCTAAACTTGAACTAAGCACTGACTCGTTGCGCCCTTTGGCTCACAGCTGTAGTCTTTTTTCGCGGCCTCTGTTTTTGGCAGCGGTTGCGGGGGCAGGGCCTTGCTTTTCAGGTCCCTGCCAGCATGGCGACATCCGCCGCTTGTTTGGTTTCAGGGCTTTACTGGGATACCATTCATGTTATGTGGATTCGTATGGGCAGGGGATCCTATATGAGCAACAGTTCCAGGGCTTGGGTGCATGTACGGGGGCTGCGAATTCTACGAACCCCCCTATGGTTTCTGCGCCGGAGTTGAGAAGCGGATCCTCGTTGGCTAATTTTTGCGGACCAGGCCCAGGAAAGGGCTTGGGTCGGAAGGGATCGGACGGCATGCAGGGTTTTGGGGTTTCCCAAAATTAGAGGTTAGTCAAAAAGGGTTAGTCAAAAAGGGTTATATAGAGGGGTTTATATAGGGGTTTCATCGGGATTTTTCGGTTTGAGGGTTTAGGGTGTTGAAGAGAACGTCCGACTGAACAGTCATTTTGCGGGCAGGGGTGTCGAGCGAAGAGCCAGCAGCCAACATGCCGCAATGCTTGCATTGGTTTTTGCTAGCAAGTGGTAGTTCCCCCCCAACATAGACCGCAAAATACAATAAGCGAAAAAGGTACCTCTGATGTTGGGAAACCCCCAAGTATGATGCATCGCTACTTGCCTGTAGCTTCGATTTCTCCCGAACCCAATGGCACTAGCAGGTACTCTTTTGCCTGGGCAAAGAGTGCTTGTATAGATGAATGATAATACCCCTGAACCCTAAAGGTGGATCCCAAATTTTTCCCCTCAAAAGCATCCCCATGATCCCTTCCTAATCCCTGTATGTCCCTTGAGGTCTTTAAGGCTCCCCTCAGATCTGAGAAACTCCCAATTGCGACGCCGAGCAGACCCTGACCCTGGAACTTGGGACCTTGATATCAGATGTTAAGGCTCCAAACACCAATCTTGCAGGCGTCCTAGGCCGTAGCTCCTAAGTGTAAGTCACCGTATGTGGGCACAAAAGGGCCCCCTTATATCACTCACATATTGCAACTTTTGTTAAAGGAGCTTCCGAAACGGGCGCCTGATCTCTTGATAACGCATGTAGGGCTGTTTGAACCCCAAACTCCAAGCCCCAAACCCTTAAGCCTGAACAACGCAAACCCCTAAACCCTGAGCCTTGAATCCTGAACTCTAAACCCTGAACCCTGAGCCCTAAACCCTGAACCTTAAACACTGAACCAAACCCTGAGCCTTAAAGCTTACCTTTGGTTAGCTAGGAATAAGCAATGGATCCTTATAGTAGTCCCTCTTTGATTCCCACCCAAAACCCAAAACCCTACAGTAGTTTTCATTTTCTTTTTCATTCCCTCCCCATACCCTTAAGCTGCCAAAACCCTAAACCCTTAAGCTCCCGAAACCCTGAACCCTACAGTAAACCCTTAAGGTCCCCAAACCCTGAACCCTGAACCCTAAACCCTTAAGCTCCCTAAACCCCTGAACTCCGAACCAAACCCTGAATCCCAAACTCTGAGCCTTAAAATCCCCAGGATATATCCCCTAAACCCTAAACCATCCTAAACCCTAAACCCCTAAACCCTAAACCCTAAACCCTAAACCCCTAAACCCCTAAACACCTAAACCCCTAAACCCCTAAACCTTGGAAAGTCCCCAGGCAGTGTCACCGGCAGATCTAAAGTCGCTGCCGAACCTCCCAGGCTACACCTTCCCAGAGTGGGGTGCTCAGACTTCTTCCCAGGGGCTACCTTTAAAGGGGGATATAGGAGTTATATAGGGGGTTGTATAGGGTTTAGGGCTTAGGGTTTGGGGTTTAGGGCTTAGGGTTTGGGGTTTAGGGCTTAGGGTTTAGGACTCAGGGCTTAGGGTTTAGGGTTTATGGTGTAGGGTTCAGGGTTTAGGGTTTGGGGTTTAGGGTTTGGGGTGTAAGATTAGGGTTTAGGGTTTAGGATTGTCTTCAGTTCAGTTTCAGGCAAAGACTTGCAATGGATTTAGGTTTTAGGGTGTAGGGTTCAGCGTTTGTCGAGATGGAGGGGGTGGATTCGGGATCCTAGGGAAGCATGCAGACTACACGAGTTTGGGGCTTAGGCATTCTGGAGATGTCTACTTGGGATTGTATAGGAACTTTCTAAATGTGTTCCACGCACAATTCCTGAAGCAGTATGCCTACAATCCACCCTCAAAATCTCTATATTTGCACGAGGTTCCTCCAGGCACTCAATTCGAGAGACTCCCCAGTTAGGGATCGTCAAGACTTCTGGGCGCAATGCATCACCATGGCACGATATCGCGCGGGTCCACCGTACAGATTACAGGATGTGGCTTTTGCTGGGGCTTCTGGCTGGGTAGCAGGACCTATTCGATTGAATCAGAAGTATGGCCTGTTATGATTCGGGGTACAGCGAGGCAAGCTTCATTGAGTGTTGTAAACGTCACCCATACCTGGAGACATCCAAACTTTATCCCTATATACCATAGTAGTTTCCATTTTATTTTCCATTATCCCAATATTTAACCCCAATATCCCCTATAATCCCAAAGACGGACTCCATCCTAGCCATGCATACAAGTCGGCCCTTGACTTTTTTTCGCCTCGGCATTTACTTAGCCCCTTTAAGCCCGCACCCTCCCGCCCTAAACTTTCATCTCCGAACCCCTTAAGCCTCTAGGTACAAGGACAACTACGCCAGGCCTAACACCTGGAACTTCGGCGGCTTGAGAGTTAGGTTGAGGTTGTAACTGCCAATATCGTGGTCCACTTTTGATTGTATATTCCTTGAATGCTGATGACAGTATAGGCCACTTCAAACAGACCTCAAAATTAAATTGGCAACTCTATAGTCCCATGCAATAGGGTAGTTTAGGGTTTAGGATCCTATCACCATCATGTATAGGAGCTTCGAGAAGGGTATTATGATATGATTGTAACTGCGGCATTGAAGGAGTGTATTCAGTGCGCAGAATCCAGGGCAGCTTTTGGGCGCGCCCCCAGAAGGGGCCATATGAGGTTTCATGTTTCTTTGGGAGGGTCAGAACAGCAAGACATGCTCGACTGCAACGACCCGATACAATGACACGGAACTGCTGAAGAGGGCGTGTGCGAGCTACTAGCTAGTCCTTTAGAAGCTTCATACCTTTGACATCCGGGTACATGAGGATAGCCTCCTTGGGTGGATTTTGTGGTGTCTGTTTGTGGGCTTACCGGTTTCAAGTTTTGGGGTCTCTTAGAGGTGCCAGGATTTGCTTCTTGAATCCCAGTCTATATACAAACAAGATTCTCGACGTGTGGTCTTGCACATGCACTCAACCAGAAAAGTACTCGTTTCAGGGCCGGACATCTCAAAGCCATAGCTTGCAAACCAAACCTGATCTGGCGGGTGTCTGGAACCTCAACTTTCCTTCGTTGCTGTTGTTGCAGAGCTTCTTCAAGTACGCGCAGGGCTTCAGTAGAAAGCACCCTGGTTCAAAAGTGCGCTGAGTCAAGGAATGTAGTGAACGGCGTCCGAATCGAACAGAAAGAGGGGCTGTCCTTCGACAAGCCCAAGTTCGTAAAGGCCGGGTGCAGAGTTATTCGCAGGATTAGTACTGTATTATCACGATTATTAGTACTACTATTTGTTACAGTCATGATTGTTATTATCATCATTAGCCAGGATTTAGAGTTTATGCTTTAAACAGGGGTCCGGGCTCCGGGTTGAAATATCAAAAGTTTTCTGGCTTAGGGCGTGAAGGACCGAGGTACGGGTCACAATGGGTCGCGTTGAGAGTTTGGCTCACATGAGCTGTAGTCTAAACTCCTAAAAGGGGGGTTATATAGGGGATTGTATAGGAGAATATTATAGGGGTAAGTAAGGGGGATACTAGGAGTTTAGACAGTAGCTCACATGGTTTGGGCTTCGGGTTGAGGTCAAGGCCCATGTAAGATTTACAATCACCATGCTCGAGGGCTCCAACTCGAACCAACTGGAGTCCAAAGTAGATGAGCTATAGTCTAAACTCCTTAAAGGGGATTATTTGGGTATTGGTCTAAATTCCCTAGAATACGGGGTCCTATATTTGGGTTCCCATTATAATACGGGGCCCTATATAAATTCCCCCATTTTGGGAACAGTAATTTAGGGAAACTACCATATAGGGGACTATATTTGGGAGTACTATAGGGGATATTAAGGGGGATACTAGGAGTTTAGACAATGGCTCAGATATTGATTGGTATACTCTTGGAACCACAGAGAAAACAGTGCCCCGCAAGCATTGCCAACTGTCTGCATGCGAGGCTTAGCAGGAAACAACTTAAGGCTTAGGGTAATGAGGACAAACGTCGGTTCCTAAACCCTAAGCCACATATGAGCTTTAGTCTAAATTCTTAGTATCCCCCCTTTATACGCCATGTGATACTCCCCTATATAATCCCATGTATAACCCCAGTCTAAAACTTTTAGACTATAGTTCATAAGCCCCCATTCCGAGATTTTTGGGGTTAACCTACCCCGTGAGGTGAGCAAAGCTCCAGATGTCTGGCGCTCCGGCTCGTTGCCCGATAGCCAGACCCGGGCGGTCTTCAAGAATGCGCCTGGGATTCATGTAGCCCCGACATGTATACAGGGGAAGGCTTCAATAGGATTTAGGGTTTAGGGTTCAGGGTTTACGGTTTGCTACCCTTAATTCCCATGTAAAATGCTTTTTTTTGTTCCTAGTACAGTTATGGTACAACATGCCGCAAGGCTCTATTGGAATGCTTGTAGGCTCCTACATCATGAAGTTTTGCTGGGGAGGTTGTTGTGGGTTAAGAGCTTCGGAGTTGGAGTTTAGACTGGGTTGCTGTTCAGGACCTTAAATTGAGTTACCATAATGGGTATATATGGTAAATAATAGGGTTTCCCCAATACAGTAACTTAATTTAAGTTCCTTAAAAGCAACCCAGTAGAGGGATATGCAGGGTGGAGGGTTGGCGGATCAGGGCTTTGGGGGCTAGGGTGTAGGGCAGGGCGTGGGATGTAGGGATCAGTGTGTGTGCCGCAGATATCAGAGTCGAATGCGGCTCAAGTCCCTTGCTGCTGTCATGGAGGGTGGAAGATTAGGCAAGGTTTTTTTGCCCAGGTCGATGGCGTTGTAGGGATATACTAAGTGACCCCTAGATGTCCTCGTGATTAGCTGTAATGAGGCCGAATTATTCCTCACAGCTATAGTCCCCCTTAAGTAGACAGAATATGGGGTACATGGGGATCTTATTTTAATATACGCTACGCAAAGCCATATTCTATCTACCTACGGGGGCTATAATTCAAAGGAAACCTGTGGAGTCGGTTATATAGGTGGGGGGTGGGAGGGTAGCAGCGGAATCGTGGCAAAGTTGAGTTCCTGCTGCTTATCAGGCTTGTACCGTTCACATACGACGCGGGGTGAATAGGAACAGTGGGGGGTCATAGACGAGGAAGAATACTTGTAGCTGTGCTGCAGTGACACTCCCATGATCTCAAGCCCTATCCCCGAAACCCTAAACCCCAAAACCCTTAAACCCCTAAATAACCTCTATAGAATCCCCATATAGTCCCTATAGAATCCCTATATAATCCCTATATAAACCCTACCCTCACCCCTAAGGCTTTCCCCGCGAAAGATCCTCCAGCACCAGGCTGGCGCAGATATCCAGTTCCAGGACCTCCCGGCCTGGGACGCCTTTGACCGCCACGTCCTGCGCTTCAGTGGCTACTTCAAGGAGTGCCTGCAGCGGGGCGGGAGCGGTGAGGGATGTATCTACAAGGGTAGATACATGGTATTTTTGCTAGATAGGGGGACCCCAATGTAGACCCTAATATACTATAATCCTTGTTATGGGGACCCCCAAAATAATACCCCTAATTTCAAGAAACTACCACATGCATGTTTGTGTCAAGGTAGGTAGGTAGGCAGGCAGGTAGGTATTATGTATGTATGCATGTATGTATGCATGTATGTATGCGAAGCCACCATGGTTTAGGACTTCAGGGGCTTGGGGCTTGCAGTCGGATCGAGGGTTTGTGAGGTTCGGATTCAGAGCGTGTCTAGTTGTTTCTTGATGGGCTCCTGGGTTTATTGGGGGTGGTTACAGCCTTGAAGGGCATCACAGATCTTATGCTGTATTGACAAAAGGAACCGATGCTGGGAAGGGACCCCCGGAACCCTAAACCCTAAACCCTTCATGCCCAGTCTTCGATCCTTGGACTCACGGGGCTTGGAATGCTTTTCAGAGCTCAGCCTTAATTTTTGTTCCAGGCTTGCTTTTGTTTCTTGTAGGCTCATAAAGAATGTATGAGCTATGGCCTAAACTCCTAGCATCCCCCTTCATAAGCCGTATAATACTCCCCTATATAATCCCCCCCTATAACCACCTTTAAGGAGGTTAGACTACAGCTCATATAACAAAATTCAAGAAATGTAGGAGGTCAGGCTGAGGTTCATATGAGCTGTAGCCGAAACACTGGAGAACTGTTATCTGAGACATCGGAAGCCCTTCTATTTATCAAAATGATAATATAGGGGCCTAAATAATTGCCAATATTGTGGGTCCATATTCCTTGTATAAGTATAGTATAGGGTACATCAATTGGACCTCAGAATGATATAGGTAATTATGAAATTTAGGCCCCTATAGTACGTGTCCCCTGCAAGCCTCTGCAAGCCTTGTGCTATACCTGTGTAATCACAATCTGAGGGCTGCGGAAACAAGCTGCCCCTAAACTCTAAAACCCTAAACCCTAAACCCTAAACCCTAAAACCCTAAACCCTAAAGCCCTAAACCCTAAAGCCCTAAACCCCTAAACCCTAAACCCCCCCAGCTTTCCAGGAGTCAGTAGTGGAGACGAACCTAGAGAACTTCCGCTTCTTGGCTGTGGCTTCATCGTTGACCTTCCCAGACCCCTGGGAGGATCTGAAAATTGGATCCCCTATTAGGGGTTTCGGGTTTAGGGGATTAGGGTTTAGGGTTTAGGGTTTAGGATTTAGGGTTTAGGGTTTATCTAAACATTAGATCCCCTATATAAACCCATTGTAACCCCTATATATTCCTTATATGGTGTACCATATGGTTCTAGGGGATCTAATTTTTAGATCCCTTTGGGGGTCTGGGTTCCTGGTCTTGGCATGAGAGATGTTTTGAGATGAGCATTCCGCAAGAATTAGATAGTTTCCCAAAATAGGGGGAACCCCAAAACAGACCCCAATATATCATAGTTCTTATCATGGGCATCCCCTAAGTGGCACCCCGAAGTTTGGGAAGCCCATCCATGTCTGCGAGGAGACCAGGCTTCATATTTGCCCGAGGCAGGAACCTAGGGAGCTTTTGTTTAGGGTTTAGGGTTTAGGGTTTAGGGTTTAAGGTTTAGGGTTTAGGGTTTAGGGTATCCCCCAATAATGGAGAATCAAATGGAAAAGAAATGGACAATGAAATGGAAGCTAGGATTATACGGGGGATTATAGGGGCTATAGTCTAAACTCCTAGTATCCCCCTTGATAATCCCCTATATAAATCCTCTTTAAGGAGTTTAGACCCTATACCCTAAACTCTAGTATGTTAGACTATAGCCCAAATAGTAGGAGGAGTGAAACTGGCAGCAGCACACCGCAGTGAGTGCTACCACATGAGCCATAGTCGAAACTCCTTAATTAGGGGTGTATATGGGGGAATATAGCTGCCTTTATTTCGAGTTTAGGACCATGGTTTAGGAGGCTATATAGCCACTACATAGGGGAGGACTAGAACCTGAAAATCTGCATTGCCCCGTGATCTCGTGCAAGCCGAGGGCCTTAAGCAAGCTTGCAGATCGCAAGGAGCTCACTGCAGAATCCCAGCAGTCCCTGTAGTCGTTCTAGCCCCATAAACCAGAACCCTAAACCCTAAATTATCTTCCCCCATATAACCGCTTAATTCAGGAGTTTAGACTGCTGCACCAAGGAGTTCGGAAAGTGACCATCTACTACTACCTGGAGGCCGTGTGGCCCGTATTGATGCGTTTTGGCAGGTCAAGTCATCCGCAGGATGGACCGCAGAATAATGTAGGGACCTAAATAATTACCAACGTGATGGTCCTACCTTCCCTAAACTCTAAACCCTAAACCCTAAGCCCCCCTGTATAAGCATAGTATGGGATGCCTGAAGTAGGTCTCAACATGATGTTGGTAACTATTTTGGCTTCACTTTATCTACATGAGGTGCAGCGGCGTCGCATATGTAGGGTATGTGTGACGTTTCTGTGCTGACTCAATAATTATTTCTTTGGCGTTTGCATTCAAGAAGCTGTGGTGATTTTCCTGTGATGTCCCGGTGTCCATTCTTCCGTTGATTTGGATTTGGTTTTCGCTCGCTCCTTTGCTTTTCATGATGCTTTCTCTGCCTGCCTTTCATGAAGAAACCGATTCAGCGTACCTAAGCTGTACAACCTTGCCTGACTTGGGGTCTGAATCTACCCATGATCCTGCTAGAATCATGTTTACAGAAATCATTCCACAAGGGCCGTTCATAGGTCTGTTTAGACCTGCATATGGGCATCCCTTAGGGCAGGTGGTTTGTTAAAACGTGTTCAAGCATGTTAAGCAGCATGCGGTCGGGCTCTTCGATTAAAGTTTACTTGGCCAGGGTTCTACAGAACTGTACTGCTCTGATCTATCACATATCATTGCTTTCCTTCTGGCTTGGGAACCGCAGCTATGGCTACCAATGCAGAGACCGCAGAGACTGCGATGGCCTTGATTCCAGTCCTCGAAGTGACGGAGGTCACAATAATCCGTGAGACACTGAGCGCTTGGGCCAATGCACCTGAGTGGCAGCACATTCGGGCGATCTCTGCGGAGGCCGACACGACCGACCTGGTGCATGAGGTTTATTTGATTTCGGATGCCAAGATCCCCTCCATGACAATCCCGGCATCTGAAAATGAAATAGAGCCGGAGGACAGCAGAGAAAGCAAGGAGCTTTCCGTGGAGATGTTATCAGGTGACACAGCACAAGTTCAGGTGAGTGGCCCCTGCACTGCTGCCCATGTGAAGCGGGCAATTGAAATCCGGCTTGGGGTTCCTTCCTGTATGCAGAGGCTCATTGCAGGCTCCGAGGAGCTTTCAGATGAAGCCATGGTCACTATGGATTCGGTGACGATGCTGCGGCGTGATCCGCCTGCTATAGCCACTGGGGACTTTCTGCGCACTATGATTAGATGCCCAGGTTACCAGGAACGGGGGGTCTTTCGTGGTTGGTACGAAGTCGCATCTGCGACATTCGGGTCCAGTATTGAAGCCGGCTTGGAGAGGGTGATGGCGTACCAGAACATGCGGAATGTGCCGCTGACCACGGAACACACACTTGCATGCCTTGATGCATGGTTGAGGATAGAGAACAAGGCAGGAACACATCCGGACAGTTTCAGGGTCCACGTGGACAAGATGGTTGCCTTCATGCAGCACTGCTGCTACAGCCCTTCCCTGCTGGCTTACGAGGAGCTTGCACAGACCACGCTCGTCCCTGTGTTCTTGTTACATAAAAGTAAAAGGATTCACAACTGTTTTAGGCCCCTGGGATATTTAATATTTTCCCTAATGGCTTTAATAGGGGACCATATATACTAATATTTTTCAAAGGGTTTTAGGGGCCAACCCAGGTTTCCTACGCCTGACTAAATTGCGTTGCACGGTCAGCGCAGGTCTGGCCGAGATGCTTTGCCTCTTCCGTTGTCGGTCGGTCAGTCGGTCCCTCCCTATGAACACAAGGATCCTCATTTGGGCTTGTTCCCAGAGTTAAGGGTTTAGGCTTAAAAGCTTTATACACCCGTCTGTGGGCCCCGGTCGGCTGGTCGGCGGCTCGGCGGGTCGTTTTTTTTCCTAGCTCTGGCTGTGCTGCTTAGCCTGTTCCCAGTGTCGGTCGGTTTCTCGGTCGGTCCGCGGTCGGTCTGTCCGTCAGTATCCGATTTGTGCTCGCCAACCACGTCTTTTCACGAACCTCCCCGGACGGTAGCACCTTGTACATGTTCTCATTTGCCTGCATGTTTTGCCAATGGGCGGTTTTCAAAAGCAATCGCGAATGCCCATCAAACAAAAGCTTGGCAAACAGCTGCATGTTTCATGGTTTCAGATTATAGCTCATATAACCCCGATAAATCCTATATAATCACAGTTTTCATTTAATTGTCCATTTGCTTTTCCATTTGATTCTCCATGATTTTCTCATTGTCCATGTTTTTGGCGCCTCCCCCGCCCGGCCCCGCTGTTTTTGATCCAACTGCCATGCAAGCGGTTCGATTATGTTAGGATAATGGAGAACGCAAAGAAAATTACTATTGGGGTGATATAGGGTCAAGGGTTTAGGGTTATATTGGGGTCATGGAACATAGACTGGAAACTACTGTACTACAGGGGTTATACGGGGGTCATAAGGGCTACATTGGGACAATGGAAAAGAAAATGGAAACTGCAAGTCTTTTAAGACTTGGCCAGACACTACAAGTTGTCATCTTTGTCCATGTTTGCCACCCGGGAAGAAGCAAACGCAAGTGCCCAGCGGATCCTACCAGCAGTTTCGCAAGAAGGTCTACGTTCAGATATTTGTCAATGTTTTGCAGATGGGGGGGCGGCCCTCCCTCAAGCGCTCCCAGTAATTTGAATAGAAAGTGCGATCTCCAAAACGAAAAAAAAGACAAGCACAAACCTAGCAAGATTGTCCATGTTTTGCCAATTGGCCGCCCCAAACCCCTCGTTTTTTTCCAACGGAAAAAGAATGTTAAGCAAATCTTATCAGCAGTTTAGCAAGAAGCCACGCGTTGTCCATGATTTGCACCATCCCATGTGCAACTAAGTGAATGCAAACACACACACACACACCCACACACACCCACACACACCCACACACACACTTGTGCAATCCTCCCTCTGGACTGATTGGGAATTCTCCATATTCAGTCTTCGTCAACACAGAGGAGTAGGATCTTAAGAGGATTTAGGCTCTGCCCATGGCTTACCTCTTGCCATGTCTGTCATGC